AGGGGGTCAGGCTAGATGATCTGTTCAGGTCCCTCCTGACCCTAGCTACTATGATACTATGATACTATGAATGTACTTCATGTATTTATCAGGCTGTGTATGAAGCTCAGGATCAGCGCCTATGACACTACATTCAGTTTGAAAAACAATAGTGCATACCCAATTGATTACTTAGGCTACAAAATATCCTATGTAAAAAGTGAAAGGAAGAGGTTGATAACCATATTTATTTACCAGCTTTATTCATACTGAAGAATACCTTATACCATAAGTAAACCTCTCAGACTAGTTTTGATACTACCCAACATGAATAAGGGTGGCAAAATTTGAACATTTTGAAAACCTTCACTTTGCAGTACTGGGAGCAGGGGGGAGAAGGGAATTCTTAAATCCACAAATCATATAAACAAAAGCTTAATTCACTAGTTATTTAGCACATTGTAGACATGTTTTATATGTAGGAGGTTCACATGAACTACAAGGAAGATTGTTTTAACACTTGCAGTGTTAAAAAATATTTGTAAAAAATATTTGTATGAACTTTTCAGCATGAAATTACAATGGCTATAGTCCATTAGTGAAGGGTTTTTCATTGCTGTCATATAAAAAACACTTAAAAGAATGCAAAAATAAATAAATAAATCAAAACTTCATCCTTATAAAAATAAAGTAAAAGATAAAAGTGTTTACTCAATATTCAAACAATTCTGCATTTTTCTAGTACTAAAAGGATCAATACAATTAGAGGAAGGAGTAAAGTAAGAATTTGTTTTTCCATAATAGACATATTTTCTGTGAGCAGGTAAATACGAATGAATTAAAAAGCTCTATAAATTATTTCCTGGACTCCAGGAGCTAGAAAGACAGCTGGTTTCCAAAGGTTAACAAGGTTTTATTAATATCTTAAGGCTAAAAGTAATAATGAGAAGAAATAAAGTGTCACATAACACAGGAATATTGACATTAGTTTAATACAGAAATTGAAACAGGCATTTGTCTCTTAAAATCATTTTTTACCTGAATTCCTGGTTTTACTTTTGCATGCGATACCATTTTACACACCAGTCATTCACTTGAACAGAATTTGGAAAAGATCATGTATTTGTTAAGAAATGTAGTGTGACTGGTATTACATCAGCAGTTGAGCATCTGATAGCTCTTAGGAAATATTGCCTACAAAATGCAGGTTCAGTTCTTTGGCCCTTGTAAACCTCTTTCTGTTATGCTACAAAGGTTATTGCTATAACTGTGCAATAAAGAAGCAATTAAGAATCCTTCCAGTGAAGGGTAACATAGAACTAGGTAAACTACCTATCTCTGCACCTGGTACACATGACCTTTAAGGTTGGGAAGTTTAATATTAAAGACAAATACAGCTGTCCTGTTGTCATTATCGTTTTTTTCTCTGGATGCTTAAAAAACATTTGCTAAACTGTCCCGTCAGAAAGTCAAGTCTTCTGCAAGAAACTACTCTATTTCAGCAATGTATTACTATGAAATGACTGCACGCCTTGAGCAATTAAGGGCATATAAAAAGACACTTAGTAGATAAGGGAAGTCAGTCTGCATCAGGGAAGAGACATTCCATTTGATTTATCAAGCTACAATTTAAATAGTTTTACATCTAGATTTTGCAAAAGGTATAAAATTGCATTGAAGTCCTATTAGAAAGTGGCAAATAAAGAAATAAAGCAGCATAAAGCATTAATTAAAGCTTATCTGCTCTACCTGTTAGGAAAAATATGACCTTGTTTATATCATGATACAGACAAAGATTATACATAATGCCAGGTCACTGAAAAAAATTGGCCCTCATTCAGCAAGGTGTGTGTAGATTTAGCAGGTTCATTTCAGCAGATTCGACTGTTTTGTCTGCTGTGTGACTTACCTGTTTTGTTGAATTGAAGCCAACGGAAGGTCACAAGATCCCCTAACTACAACTAAAATGTCTATTTTCTGAAGCCCTTAATTTCTCATGTTATTTTTCCCTTTGAAGTCTCAAATCTCTATCAGTGTTGAAGAATGGGAAGACACCAAGGACACCAAAGAACAAATGAAATACCGCAGCAATCATCGTAACTCCACATCCAGCGATCAGTCAGATCATCCCTTGTTAAGGCGAAAAAGCATGCAGTGGGCCCGGAGGCTCAGCAGAAAAGTACCAAAGCACTCTGGCAAAACAGCAGAGAAAATCAGCCAGCAGCGAATGAACCTTTACAGGCGGTCTGAAAGACAAGAACTGGCAGAACTTGTCAAAAACAGAATGAAGCACCTGGGGCTTTCTACTGCAGGATATGGTATGATTATTATTATTATTACAAATCGTTGAAACATCTCATATCATCATAATTATATTCCATACAATTTGAGAGTGCAGCAGTTAAGGTAAATTGAGAGCTGGCTGCTAACATTTTCAAAGTTTGCTATGGTAACAGATGAAATTTTTCATTGGAGATTTGATGAAAGAGACACTGCTGATGTGAAGAGCTTAAGCCCTTTTCAGTAAACTTTAGTTCTAATCTGGGTCTCTTTCTGGTTTTAGACGAATTATTCAAGAGATTGTCTAGTTGGCATATTTACACGTAAAGGGCATGAAATCAGAAAAAAAATAAAAACAAAAGCATATCATAAAGATAATCACATTGCATCTCAATAAATGTAACCATTTCTTGTAGACAGAGTTGTGCTAAATTTTGTTTCAGACTATTTTTCTTCATTTTCCCCCACTCTTTTTTTTCCTCCAAGTCATCATAAATACCACCTGAAAATGAATGCTGTAGCACCCTATTAGACTTTGGGCAGCTTGCCAGATATTTAGATCTAAGTAATCAAGTCATTCATGAGCTTAGAATGCCAGACCATGAATAACAGCTCACTGTGTCATCTCTTTAGCTTCTCTCAGTCATTGGCAACAACTTCCAGCAACAGGTGGCTATTGGTATCATACCAGAGCCAACTCTGTATCAAAGCTGAAAGGGTGTTGCATGTCTTTTTCTGCTTTTGCTTTGATTAAGAATAAACCCAGTATTGTGAGAATAGCAGAAGATTGACAGTCAGTGCTCATGCTATTGTTTTCTCAGGTTGTGAATGAGTTGGGACATGATTTTCGTAACGGTGCACTTGCTAAATTTACCCAGATTTCATTTTTTAGATAAATAAACCAGTCTTCATCATCCAGATGGACTCAAGGAGTGCCAGCTGGATAGAACCTTTCACATTACATTTTGGAAGCCTTAAGAAATAGAAAGCCATGCTTGAATAGAGATAGCACATGCCAAAGTCATGGGAAAAGCCACTCTTTTAGTATTAAGGTTTACTGAAGGAGCCCAACATGAAATTAAACTCGGGATACATGGCCAACAACAAATCCCTTCTCATCAGTTCTCAAAATAAAGATAAAGTTAGCAATAAAGATTTTGTAAATGATGTTGAAACTTCTACTCTCCAAGTTAGTTTAATCTTGCATAAAGAAAAATCCACCCTGAGTCCTTTATACTTAATTCTGTTCTATCTAGGTTCTTCTATGACCATTATCACTGTTGTACGAGTGCTTTCCAACTATGCACTAAGTGGTATAACATACACCTGTCTTATATAGTTCATTCTCTCTCTCATCCTTTCACCAGAAAGAGAATTGTATGCACAGTAGAGTAGTATATTTCTGTAGTGGTTTTGTTCAAAGTGTACACATTTATATGGGCTTATGTCAGAGTAGGCAAGGGCAAAGAAGTGTGCCTTTCACTTCAACAAGAAAGCGATGAGACAACTGTTGCTCCTAAGTTTCTCTGGGTGTTCATTCTACTTCATAATGTTTGTACATGAACAAGGTAAAATGAAATTGAAGTTTAATAGTGACACCTAGGACATAATATTAGTCATAAAATTTGGGTTTGACCTTTACTTAAGGTGCTTTTTATACTGAGATATTACCACAGAAAGGTTTTTGTTCCTCAAGCCCCCATCTGATGGAAGGTGGGCAACATTTCCATTTTTATTCAACGACATATAATTGTGGTCAATTTTTCTTGTAAAACAAGCCTGCCAACTCAGCCTAAGTTCTGAGTTAGGGTATGGATGTATGTAACATTTATAGCGCTTTTGTAATATGGATTCTGCCTAGATCATCCATTGCCAACAAAAAATTATGTGTAATGAAACATAATTAAGAATTCTGCAGACAAGATCTAAGCCAGAATGGAATCCATCTTATTCTTACACTAGATGCATTATGCTCTCCCTTCCCCCACCAGGCTAACAAGAAGAAAATACAATATATCCAATATGCCCGAGGGAAAATACCCAGGAAAAAACTCTACTGAGTGAGAGATACCATTATTTAACGTAGTCTGCTTTCAGAAAAGAATTACATTTTAAATTTGTAAATGTTTGCATCTAGAATTTTGTCTTGGGTTCATCTATAGGACAAATATGAAGAAATGCTTACAGAAAGATTGGTAGGATGTTATCCCAATACAGCAAGCATAGATTAATGAGAGAAGAGAAAGGAGAACAACCAGAACTAGAGATCATACTTCCTTCACAATTTCAATCATTTTCTTCTCCGAACTGTGATTTAAGATTAGTACAGTATGTAGAGAATTTTCTGACAACAGGGAGGAAAAAAGAAAAGAAAATGAACAAAGGTGGAGGGGGAGAGAAACAGACATGTTTGTACGACTGGTTTTTGTGTGGAATGAAATTGGAATAAAAGTGACACTTTGGCATAGGAATATTCACTGCATACCGGTTTCTGAAATGAAAAGCACAGTCTGCCCTGTTCAAAACTTCTGTCACAACCTTTCCTTTCTATTTCCTGCCTGAACACAGACAGTATTACAAGACAGCTGGGAATAGTGTTATATCCTGTTCATTACAATGTAGAATGACTGACATTTTTAAAGATGTGAACAAAGCAACTTTTCTTCTTAATGAGATGCCTACTTCAGTTGTTGAGAGTTTTCCAACCCTTATCATTGGCTGGTATGCTCACTTTCCCTTCCAGTTAAAGACAGGCTAGGGAGAATGTGTTTGGGGCATAAATAACTTGCATGTTAGGCAAGTTAAGCGCAACACACAGAATTTAAAGCCGTAAGAACCCTACAAATGCACAGCATAAGAACGCTTCAAACACAGATCTGCTGTTGCTTTCTGGGGGCTGGGATTCTTTTCCCTGTCCTGACATTGTATACAGTATACTCAAATTAGATATTTGCTTTTAAAGAAGGCAGGTATATTACAAAAAGTAATTAATCTACAAATCTTGATCCATATGGACTGTCTAGGATTGGGGAGCCTACTCTTGCCTACTCCTTACTCTGGATTAGAGAGTTTGGAAACCTTGAGAGTCCTGGTTCTAATTGAGGCAGGTGACTACCATGGACTTAATAATGGCAGCCTGTGGTTGTGAGTGCACAAACAGATTCTTTGTCATGCACAGTGCAAGTAGCATCCAATATTGTTTGGCACTGTCACATTGACCAATTACTAATCTGTAACTATGTTACAGAAACGTGCATGGAATAACAGCAAAGTGTCATCTAAGGTAAAGGCACAAATCTAAGAGACTTGTGCATTGTCATCCCTGCTTTATGGTTCAGATATGTGGAGTATATATGCTAGGCACATCAGGAGACTGAACAGCTTCCAGACGATATGTCTACATAAGACCGTGAAAATGAAGTGGGAAGACAGAATATCAAACACAGTGGTGCTGAGGCATGACTGACACACTTAGAAACCACCATCAAGAAGAGGAGGTTGTGATGGATTGGCCATGTCAGGAGATGGGAGAAGACTGTATTTCCCAAGACTATTTTGTATAATGAGATTTGAGGTGGCTCTAGAAAGTTGGGTTGCTCTCTATGGTGGTACCACAATGCATACAAAAATGATATAGAGTCACTCAACATCAATGTAGAAAGCTGGGAGAAATGTGCAAAATCCTATCTGATCTGGAGGGATATTTGGCACTGGGTACAGCTCAACATAAAGCAGATTTAATCCACAATATGAAAGCAATGCGAGACAGAAGAAAGCAGTGTGCTGTAAATTTGGACTCCAAATCAGACAACGTATGGATCTGTGAAACTTGTGACAAGCCATGTCAATTTCAAATTGGGCTTGTCAGCCACAAATGGATTCATTGGGTGCATCTCTTTGTGCAATTAATTTGAATCAATAAACTCCAGAGCAGTTTGAGCTGGAGTAAATTACTCCTGGGTGCACCATCTACACTTGCACTGAGGACAGAGCAATTTGAGCAGGGGTGAAGCAGTTCATTCCAGGGCCACTCCTGTCCTGCTCTCCCCTGGGCTCTGGGTGGCAATGTTAGGAGGCGGAGGGGTTGGCTAGGGCACAAGGGTGCTGAAAGTGTGGAGCTGTGGGGCTAGGAGGCAACAGGAGTCTAGGTCCTTTCAGTCTAGGCTGACCAGTTTTAATATACAGCTGTGGTCAGTGTCTACACATGTGTTTAATTGCAGTTAATTACCCCGTCGTAAAATAGTACTGTTCTGAACAGTACTATCTTATGGTGACTTTTTAGTTTACTGTGGCCTAATAGCATTCCACATGTAGACAGTGATGCTTTATTCCACAGCTAATTAGTCTACTCTGAAGTTGAGTGTACATGTAGACACAGCCATTAGGCATTTGATTAGACCTCTTATGTGTACACTATGATCCAGAGGGTTGACAGTTGCCTACATAGAATTGGTCAATGTGACTAACTAGAGCAGAGTCTGGCAGCCCTGAGTATTCCAAGTGCCAGAACTCCTACCTCAGCTCTGGCTCTCAGGGTTTCCATGCTCCATGCCCATATGATAGACACAATAGGGAGCCTAAGGCCATGACTAATCTGAGAGTTTAGCTTCCATGTTCTGACTAATTTTGAAACTTTGGTCTCAAAATGTTTGGATTAATCCTAACTCAGTGAAGTGACAGGGGAGAAATTCTTGTTTGCCTTTTCATGGAAAAAAAATTAAATTATGATTTTTATTTCTAAAGTAGAATATTAGCTTCATGCTAAGCCAGGGGTGGGCAATTATTTTGGGTGGAGGGACACTTACTGAGTTTTGGCAAGCTGTCAAAGGCCACTGGGTCCCCACCTCACCCTGCTGGCACAGCCCATCCCAGCTCCATATAGCCCCTGCCAGCCTGGACCCCGTGCTTCTGCCACCCTGCTCAGGGCCCTGGCCCCGGGACACCAGCATTGGTCCATGTTCCTGTCCATGAGCCCCGCCACCTGCCACTGCCATTTCCCCACTTTCCTGCCTGCTGCTGTTCCTCCTCAGCCCTGCCCGCAGCTCTGGCACCACATGGTTCCTGGATACAGAGCCAGGACTGCAAAAGCTAGTCCAGACCAGCCCTGAGGACTGGTGTGATTGCCTGCAGTCCTGCCCTGCCTCCCCTTCCCCTTCTTATTTGAATTGTCCTCTCCAGTGGAGGGAGGCAGGAACAGCCCCAGGGTCTGAGCTCAGAAGCCTCTGGTAGGCACAGGCTTCTGACTGGGGCTGGACTGGCCTTGCTGTGGCTACTGGGTCCTGCTGCCAGTTCCCCCTGGGTCCTACTGCCCTGGGTTCTACTGCCCTGGCTCCTGTCATCTCTGATGGGCAGCCAGGGCAGATAAATATTAATTTTCTAAACTTTTTAGGGGCCCAACAGACCAGATAAAATGGCCTGGTGGGCTGGATCCAGTCCACGGGCCATATTTTTCCCACCCCTGTGCTAAGCTCTGTGCTTTTTGATCTAAACTGTTTCCTACAACCTACCAATATAAAAAAGGTTTGTCCTGCAGCCCCCACAGGGGCTGCAGATCAAGACAACAAACTTTCCAGCTTTAAAAGTACTGTTTGTTGAGATCAGAACAGTGTAGCCCTGAGCTACCCCCACCAATCCCCTGTCCTTGCTGGCAGGTGGCAGTCAGTGGTGAGGTTTCAAATTTTTTTAAAATTTATTTTTATAACATGCCTGCTTTGTTTTTCTACTGAAAGAAAAGTAAAATAATTGCACTTTGCTCTTGGAGTGAAAGGCAGTAAGATTTCCAATGGTTTTAAGACCTGTGGGGAGGCGGTCATTCCACAGCCTTGGGTAGGCCTTGGGTGCCTATCTTCAAGAAAGGAAGAAAGGAAGAAAGATCTGGGAAACTATAGGCCAATCAGTTTGACCTCAATCCCTGGAAGGATATTGGAAAAAAAACTAAATCAACATGGTGCATGGTGACCAGTGGCATGCCCCAGGGTTCTATACCTGGACTTGTACTCTTTAATGTATTTATAAATGAACTGGACTCTGGTGTCAGAAGTGGAGTGGCTAAGTTCGCTCATGACACCAAATTATGGGGAAGTGGGGTCAAGCTAGAGGATAGGGTGGTGATTCAGACAGACCTTAACAGGCTCATAAGGTAGGCAGACCAAAGCTTGATGGCATTCAACATGGAGAAATGCACGGTGCTCTGCATCAGGAGGAAAAAAAACACACATACTTACAGGCTCGGCAGAGCTACACTCACTAGCACCATGACTGAAAGAGACTTGGGGGTCATGTATGACCACAAGATGAACATGAGCCATCAATGTGATGCTGCAGCCAGAAAAGCAAACAAAACCCTGGCTTGCATTTATGCAAGACCCAGGAACTCATCCTTCTGCTTTACTTGGCCTTTACGCTCAGGCACAGCCCAATGGAGCTCAACCCTGGCTCCTGCACACCCACCCAGGAAACCCTATGACCCTGGGCTTGGGCACAGCCCCAAGGAGCCCAAGTCTGGCTCCTGCACACCATGTCTCAGAGACCAGAGACAGGTGCCTATGTATCATTCACTGGTGGTCTGTCCTAGGCCTCTTACAGAAAAAACACATAACTTAGATCAATTCTGCCTTGGGCTTTTTGGCTATAGAGCTAAACTGCTACCATAAGTACTGCCAGGGGACAGAGTTTGGCCCTAAAGTTCCCAATGGATGGACCAGGGTCAGATCTATGGGAATGCAGTGGTGTGGTCACATTTCTCTTCTGCTATCACCACCACTGTCCCCAGCCACACACAGCAGCCCACACAGTTTCTCCCAGCAGCCAGAGCCCCAGAGGGCCAGAGCTCTGAGGGGACACTGAAGAGTAAGGTGGGGAGCAGGCATAGGTGGTGAGACCCTCACTAGCTAGCAGCCTGCAGCTGTAGCAAGACAGAAAAAGCTCTGGAAGTGGGGCAGGAATAACTTTGGGACTCTAGCAGCATCAGTTCCTGAACCCGCTCCTTGCCCAGCACCCTGGTGTCCCCTTATAGCTCAGGGGCTCCAGCCACACCTCACCCCCCATTCCTCCATTGTCTGAGGGTCACATCCCTTTTAGTAAATCCTATATCTGCCTATGTTTGGAACTCTTCAAAATATAGCAAAAACCCCTAGATCCTACTCAGTGAAGACTCTAAAAGGCCTTCTCTGGAGAAATAGGGTTCATCCTTCAATAGTTTTCATGTCAACAAAAAGAGGACATTGAAATGAACAGCATCAGAAAATGAAAATGAAACCTCTCTTCAAGGAAAGTTCAGTTAGGGCCCCATAGAAGCGAAGGCTTTAATTGGCTTTAGTGGTGCCATGAAACCATAGGAAGGAAGTCCGGCATTGACGATACAGTGAGTATTGAAGGCCACTTGGAGCTTTGAATAATTGTGCTCATCATAGGGCTGCAGGTGTAGACTCTATAGGTATAGAATTATATACCTATAGACTTATAGTCTATAGATCTAAGGGTATAGATTCTATAGATTCATGGAAAATTAGGATTGGAAGGGACCTCAGGAGGTCATCTAGTCCAAATGCCTCCTCAAAGCAGGACTATCCCCTACTATATTAAATGAGCTAAGGCCTTGTCTAGCTGGGTTGCAAAAACCTCCAAGTGTTGCAAGTGCACAATCTCTCTGGGTAGCCTTTTCCTGTGCTTTAGTACTCTTCTTGTGAGAAGAGTTTTTCCTAATATCTAACATAAACTTCCCTTCCTGAAATTTGAGACCATTGCTCATTGTTTCATTATCTGCCACCACCAAGACCAGTCTAGCACAATCTTCTTTGTAACCACCCTTCAGTTGATTGAAGGCAGTTATTAATACCCACAATAGTTTTTGCTTCTCCAAACTAAACAAGTCTAGTTCCCTCAGCCTCTCCTCGTAAGTCATGTTCCCCAGCCCTCTAACCATTTTCATTTCCCACCACTGGACTCTTTCTATTTTGTCCACATCTTTTCTGTAGTGGGGGTCCAAAACTGGACACAGTGTTCCAGATGTGGCCTTGCCGGTGCTGAATAGAGGAATGATCACATTCCTTGATCTGCTGGCAGTGCTCCTACTAATGCAGTCCAGTTTGCTGTTACCCTGCTTTATAACAAGGGCACACTGTTGGCTCATTTTCAGCTTATTGTCCACTGCAGCCAACAGGGCCTTTTCTGCAGAGCTGTTGCTTAGCCAGTTGGTCCCCAGCCTGTAGCAGTGCCTAGCATTGCTCCTGCCTAAGTGCAGGACTTTGTACTTTTCCTTATTGAACCTCATGAGATTTCTTTTGGTCCTCCAATTTGTCAAGGTCTCTCTGAATCTTGGCCAAACTATCCAGCATATCTAAAACACCTTGCAGCTTGGTGTCATCTGCAAACTTACTGAGGGTGTAATCCATCCCATCTTCCAGGTTGTTTATGAAGATATTAAACAAAACCAGCCCCAGGACTGATCCATAGGGCACTTCACTTGATACCAGCTGCCACCTTGACATTGAGCCATTGACTACTACCCTCTGAGCCTGATGATCCAGCCAGTTTTCTATCCAGCTTGCAGCCCATTCATCCAAGCCATACTTCCTTAGCTTGCTTGCAAGACTATTGTGAGAGGCTGTATCAAAAGCTTTGATGAGGTCAAGGTATATCACATCCACTGCTCTCCCCACATCCACAGAACCAGTCATCTCATCAAACAAGGCAATCAGGTTGGTCAGGCATGACTTGCCCTTTGTGAATCCATGCTGACTGTTCCTAAAGACCTTCTTTTCTGCCAAGTGCTTAGAAATAGACTTCCTGTGGACCTGCTTCATGATTTTTCCCTGAACTGAGGTGAGGCTGATTGGTCTTAAGTTCCCTGGATCCTCCTTCTTCCCTTTGTTAAAGATGGGCACTATATTTGCCCTTTCCAATCATCTGGGACCTCCCCCTATAACCCCAAGTTTTCAAAGATATCCAGTGGCTCTGCAATCACATCAGGCAACTCCATCAGAACTGTCAGGTGCATGGACTTGTACACATGCAGCTTTTTTAAATAGTTCCTAACTTTTTCTTTCACCACTGTTAGTTGCTCACCTCCTCCCCAAACTGTGCTGCCAGGTGAAGTAGTTTGGGAGCTGACTTTGCCTGTGAAGACTGAGGTGAAAAAGGCATTGAGTACTTTGCCCTTTGCAGCTTTTCATCTTGTGCCATGTATTTCATTCTGTGTGGGTTTCTTTCCATTGATACCTTTTAATTCAGAGTCCTCTATTTTACACAGAAGGTAAGAAGCTGATGGCACTTTTTGAAAAAAAAGTCTAAGCATTAACCCCAGTATCTCCTTCCCACTGAGCCACTTTGGAATCCAGAAAAGCACATGTAATATCAGGTACCATGTGGGCAAAAGGAACATAATGCCGTTCATTGAAATTCCCTCAAAAGATTTTTTTTCCTATTCAGCTTTCCACTAGGTGATAGATAAAAGCATTGTGAAGTTAAATTATAGAGAATTACATTCACTAGCATTAAGGGAATTATAGCTCCAGGTTTGATTATGATATTCCCTGTTTGGTATTTGAGTGCTAGCAATATTTTTGTCATGCTATTTTTTCTTAGCAAAGTTGTTACAAAAATGGAAATACAGGCAACATGGCCATTCCTGTGGTAGCAAAATTCACTACGTTTAATAGATTTTGTGCTGCGTTTTTTTTCATTTACTATTATTTTATTTTGATTACCTTTCTGCAGGAAAAATTAGTCTCTGTCAAGTATTTCCAATGAAAGGAAACCGGATGCAAGTTCTCCAGTTGAGCGAAAATAAATGGGGTAGCTGGGAAACAAATCTAACAAGTTACTCTTTTGGAAGCTATCTGCCCCAGATACAATATGTTAAGCTTGGTTTATCAAAAGTTTTGTTCTTAAATTTGTTTGAACATAATATAATAAGCCCTGTATATATATTTTTTATCCTCCAGATGAAATGAATGATCATCAGAACACTCTTTCTTACATCCTAATCAATCCTTCCCCAGATACAAGACTAGAACTGAATGATGTTGTGTAAGTTGATGGCATAAAGCATAAGATACACAAAGTTTCTCATTTTCTCCTTTCTTGTATCCTTTGAAAAGTATTGCTTTTCTTGTTTTTATCCCAGGAAAAATAATATTGATGCACTTGCAAGAAAATTAAAATGAAAAATAAAGCCTAATTCATTCACTCCAACACATTTTAATGTGCCCTCTTATTTAAATTAACAACACTTTTCCCTCTAAATTGTAGTAATAATTCAACTAAGGACATTGAGCTCTTAGATGCCTTCCTATTTTTTCATATTCTCATTAGGTTTCTTGCTTATGAGTTAGATCTCCAGTTGCAAGATCAGCCTTCCAAGGTTACCAGTCAGTTGTATCAAAGCTCAATTTTCTTCATGGATTTCAGGGTCTGATTTAAAACTCAGTGGAATGCCTTCCACTGAATTCCCTGTGTTTAGGATCAGGCCCTAAGGATAAAGCCATGTATAAGATAATTAAGATACAAGTTACATAGTCATAACACATACACATTGCTTAAGATTGTTTTTTCATGGTTACCAAGAATTCCAACATGTTAGTGCCTGTGATATTAACAGTACTATTATAGAGTAAATATTACAGGTTGCAATAATGTACTCTAGAATTTTCCAGCAAATCAGGATTTCATCTTGTTTCATCAAAACAAGAAAGCCCTCTTTGCTCAGGGCACTTAACTGTGAATAGAAGATAATCAAGATGTCATGACCCTCCCTTGTTAGTCCTGTGATATTATATCTTGAAATTTTGCTAAGTGCAAAAAAATGGAGAAGATAAGGTCAGCTCTCAAAGTGGAATGTGCAGTCTGTAACAGATGCACAGTCTCCAGCTCCAATAGAATTCATAAGAATTCCCCAAATTGTCACAGTCATAAAATGCTATTTTGTGAGAACTGAAGTGCTTCACAGAAATATCTTGACTTTGATGAACTTCTGACAAGATTAATCGAGTCTGCTGAAACATGGTAAATTACTGCTGAAGCACTGAAAAATGGTGGTGGGGGTGCTATAACTAAAGTTTGTTTGAGCTTTAGTTAACAAGCTTTAGGTAAAGCACCCCTACTACCATTTTTCATTGCAGAGATGCTGATACACATGACACTCTGGGAGCTATAATTAGAGTGGGTCTGGGAGCCACTCTAAAGTGCCCCCCTTACCACTCCCAGAACATGTCTATAAATGGCCTGATTTTCTAGGGTCTTCAGAGCTACAAGTATATGAAACTGAAAAGTAATATGGCAATTTGAGATAGTAGCTGCTGGGAATTCTCTATCAGAAACACCATTTTGCACATTTAATTTAAACAAAATATTCCAGGATTTCAGCTAAAAAATATTTTATTTTGAATTTTTATCTTGAGTTGGGATGGGTTTATTTACAAAAACAATTGGTTTTCCTGCCAAATTTAAGCAAAGATTGTTCTCACACAGTCCACTTGTGTTTTAACTTCTTCAGACAAGGAGTTTGTGAGAGAGAGAGAGAGAGAGAGAGAGAGATGGAAAAGATCATTTTGCCAGATTCTTTGGGTGGAGAGTGGCAATACAGTTACATAAAAGATTTAAATAAAACAGAAAAGGATAGATTATGGACTATAAGTCAGGAAAGGATAGACTATTAAATAAAATAGAAAAGGATTTTTACCCAGATCAGAGCAAACTCTTCAAGGTTCAAAAGTCCAAAGGTATTTCATTGTTGCTTGCCTCTGTACTTCCTGATGAGGATTAACCCAGCTTCAGCTAGATTAAAAGCAGACACATTAGTCATGGTCATGTATACACAGACAGCAAAGCTACTCTGATGCACTGTAATTACAGTGTGTCAGAGCATGCTCAATTAATCGAATCTGCTGAAGCATGGTAATTACTGCGCTCCAGCATACTCCAGCATCACATGTACCAATGTCCCTGTGCTGAAAAATGGCAGTGGGGGCATTTTAACTAAATATCATTTGACCTTAGAGAAATCTATAACTAATTAATGTGCCTTCCCCACCAGACCATGTGTATAAATGCCCATTGATGCTCTGAAAAAATCAGGAGCTTTTCCACCTTGATAAAATACTGGAAAACTCATTCCTGTCTTAGTTGGGGTTTAATCCTAATGGATACCCACATGGCCATCAGGCAGTCTACATGGTAGGGCCACCACAAAGCACTGAGTGACCTTGGAAATCCTGAGCTCTTGGCTCAAGGTCTGGCTACATGTCAGGGCTGCGCATGAGCCTCAGGAACCTGTGCTGCTATGGTTTGTGAAGCTTCCTGGGTAAGCTGCTATGAAACCTGGAAGGACTATAACTATATGTTTATTTCAACAAATCCTTATAGGAACATAGGACTGCAAGGGGCCTACTTGGCTATCACATTCAGTCCTCTGTAGCCACAGGCAACTATTTGTCCATAGGGGGTGCGTCTACATGTGGTATTAGCACAGTGCAATAAATTCTATCACATATTGCACCAGAGTTTATTGTTCCTGGCCACCACATTTACACGTGCACCTAAGACCACAGCATGTTAAGCCTGGCTGGAGCACCGCAGCTGGCAGGGGCCCCAGGGGTCAGCTTGCCAGCCTAGGGCTGCTCTTACTCAACGCAATGTACTGTGAAGGGGCTATTTCAGTATCAAGCTAGCTGGCAGGAAGCCCCTGCATTGAAGCACCCTTGTGCCCCAACCAGCCCTGTCAGTGTCCACACAAGCGTAACTGTGCAGTAAATAACACCACCACAGGATAGTTCTTGTATTTACAAGTACTAAGGTATGGCAGCATTTACTAGTTTACTGTGACCTAATAGGACTGCACATGTAGATTCTGAGACTTTATTGTGGAGCTAATTAGGCAGTTCTTTGGTAAACATTTCCTGTAGATGCACCCAGGATCTACAAAAGCTTGCATCTTGCTCACTCTCACATGCCTTTGGACAAACACACACAGACACACACACACACACACACACACACACACACACACACACACACAGAATCCCACCAAAATCAATTACTCAAGAAAATAAAAGGGCTTACTCAGTTTGCATAGGTTAATATATTTTCAGGATTATATATATATATTATATAATTATTATATAAGTGTATATATATATTCATTGCATAAGAAGAGGGAAAAGTTAAAATTTAAATTACTGGGGGAAAAAATATCCAAACCTTTAAAAAAGATTTTTTCCATGCAAGAGAGAAAAATACTAGACTGATACTGAACAGTCATGCAGAACATTTTCCTTTAGCATATTGATACTTTTAGAAGTTTATAAAATAGTAACAAATCACTCATAATTTATCCAATAAATTCATACAAAAAAATCATTGTAAGTGCTCACTGTTATTACATAGCTTCCTGGGCATAAAGTGGGCTAAAAATCTCTAAGCCTTCAAAATATTTTTTAGTCCTTTGTTAGTAAGCTAGGGATATTTTTTCTTCTTAAAAATGCATTTTCAAAATTTTAAATGTAATAGTAATAATAATGTATTCTGAAGTTTTACTATTTATTAAATCATATGAAATTCAAATGTTTATTGTATTCTGTTAGCTCTCTGTAGTTACTGGCAGAGTTATTCGGATGTAAAGCAACAACTATAGACTAAAATACTAATAATGGAAGGAACAAAAAAACAAAAACACTTTTATGCTAGGAAAGAAAAGTAGTGATTTCTTCTTCCAGTTTAACAAGGCTCTAAAGCTTCTCTGTGGGATACATTTTGATCTGTGTAATAATCTGATAGGAAAATATTAAAAAAAATACATCGTTTATCCTTAGACGGTGTGTCTATATATGCTATTAGTATGAAGCAATATGCACCAGAGTTTGTTGCTCCAAAGCATTGTGTTTATCTGTGCACCTGGGATCATAGTACATTGAGCCAGATCAGAACAACACCAGGTTGGCAGGAGTCCCAGGGGGTCAGCCTGCTAGCCCAGGGCTGCTCTGACCTGGCTCAATGTGCTGTGGAGGGGCTGGCTGGGACAATGAGGGTGCTCCAGTGTGGGGCTAGCAGGCAGGCAGCACCCTTTTGCCCCAGCCAGCTGACTCAGCATCTGCCCGTGCGGTGCTGTGGAGTAAAATACTCCATGCATGCAGTGCTGCAGAGTCAGGGTAGTACTTGTATTTACATGCATTTACAAGTACTACCCCACTGCAAAGTTAATTAGCTTCCTGCAGTCTAATAGGGTTGACATGAGAAGTTTACTGCAGAGCTAATTACTCTACTCTGCAGTAAATATCTTGTGTAGATGTGCCCAAAAAGAGGTAGTTAGCCTTCTTATTCTTAAATCAGGCAAAGGCAGTACAGTCTACAAAACTGATTCCTGTCTGAGCCATTTTATCTCTAAGGTGCTATCTTACCCTGCCTTCTGTATTTTATCTTTGTTTATGTCAAGCCTTTCTCATAAAAGATGTGATTTCTTTTTTTAGTTACTTGATCCGACCTGATCCACTGGCCTATGTTCCAAATACCGCACCTAGCCGAAAAAATAGTTTCTGCAATACAGTGGGACAAGACACCAGGGAAGAAACACAACTTTGATATACTACTGACCACGCTGCTAAGAGACATTTTTTTATACAAGTATATTGTTTCCAGTATACTGTATGCTTTTTGAAATCTAATCAAAATGGAATGGCTTTATTTTTTTCATACCTTCTTGGGATAAAAAAAAATGCTGATTTTCAAGAAGCAGGCACAATATTCAATTTTGCGAGCAAATGTACTCTGAACTCCAGCGATTACCCAATTTTTAATCTGTTCATCGTTTCGAAAACAGAACTCTGTCACATATTAATGAAGCAATCCTGAAAACCCATGTTAAATTTTAACTGAACTAATATGAGCAATGAGTTAAATGTTTAAGAAAACCTGTCATCAAGGATCTCATTACTATTCGTAAGTGATAGTTTTTCTCAAAAAGGATAGTGAGTCACTGATTAGGCCTGTGAACCATAGCTTGAAAGAGTATTTATTATGAAATATCAAATGCCTGTATATATTGATAGATACATGATGGTATATCTAATAATTGGAAATGTTTGCATTATGAAGTGACTAAAAGTCCCAATCAGGAGTCTATATCAGAATCATAAAAGCCAGAATTCAGCCTTTAAGATCAGTTTTCAGTTTCTCCTCTTTGGTCAATTATTTGAGAACAGATTGTTTTTATAGTCCCAGTATATGGTCCTGCAGGATGTAGCAGATTATTAGTTCTGTCGAATTACTGATAGATTATTTTATATGAGACATAAAGTACATCTGATAAGGGATCTGCTCTAAGGGATTATCAGCTCTGGGAAGATCAGTTGGATGTTTTACTTCTTCTGAACTTCTGCCTCAACACATGCAAAAAGTGGGCAAGTTCTAAGAGCATTGATGACAAGAACCCTCTTCCTACAGAGACAGGAATCATTTTAGTTCATAAGACTGTGAAGAAAGCATTCTAGACAAGTGCAAAGGAATAAAGGTGTTATCTTACATGAGTAAGCAGACCCGGAAAGAGCTAGGTTAGATAAAAACACTTTTTATCTACCTGGACTGTTAACCTGGAATCTGAATAGAATTGTGCTGGTATTTTTAAAGTCCTGCTATCATATCTCAGATAACAAATGCCTCCATCTCTATGAAAGTCATAAGATCCAAATATCCAACTCAGTACATTTCCCTCAAAAACATAGTTTTGTGTATTTTCAATATAAAGTTATTCAGCATGTTGAAAATTAAAGATTTAAAGATTTAGCAGAAATGTAATATAAAAAAATCAGCGAAGTATCACATTAAATAGTGGGGGATACAAGGCTAATTGCACTGTTCAGTTTTATATTTAAGACAAGGAAAATTCTTAACTAGTGTATAATTATTTGAAGGTACTGCAGAATCTCTATTTTGCTGAGACTGATGTACCACAGAATATAGAGCCTGTGTTGCAGAATTTTTGTCAAGCTTCTTATGAAACAGCAGGCTTTGCATATGGTCTTCCAAAATTACATTTTTGCTTTTGCATATCTTACATAAGGGGGGGCACGAGGGAAATGAATAGTAAATTGCCTGGGTGTCTTCAAATGAAGTCTCACCCTCAATGATTCATATAGAACAATTTAAAAAATCAGCCATGCGGTCAATTGGCAATGCTTACAAGTCTGTGAATACCCTAAACTCTACATGTAGAAAAATTGTTATATAATCTAGAAAAACATGTAATTATTTGTTTAGCATTTTCTATATTATTTGAAACAGCAACTCTATGGTTGTATGTGTCCTGAAAAATAAAATTGCAAAACTCTGTGTATCCTTATTTGAACATAATCTGTTGAATATTAATGTGTCAGGTTAACGTCACATACACCTGATGGATGACAGGGAGTTTGTTAGGGTTCCAGTAATATTCCCAGGTTTTATACTATCTATAAGCTTACTTCTTAGTAAAGTAAGTAATGTTTCCATATTATGAAAGTTTCTGTTACACCACAACTAAAAACATTTTTCAGCACACATCCCCTTTAAATATGTACACCCACCCACCCATCCAATAAGTAAGGATTTCAGTTTTAAAAGTGAAATATATACAGATTATCTGGGAATCATAATCTCTTTTTTTTAGCATAATATATACAACTAATTTGTTTTTCATAATGATCTTAATGGCTCTAATTAGGGTAACTTTGTTTCTTGTGTACATACAGGGTCATTTATATTAGAAAATTATTCATAGATAAAGCGGAAGAACAACTGTTTCAAAATGTAACTTTTTTTCTGTAATATGAAAGGCATTTATTCATAAGCTCATTTTGCAGGTCAAATTATTTTCAAAATTTTTTTTAGTGTTAGTCTATGTGCTTCTTCAGATACAAGTTATGATAAAATGATGTGTATGGCTCAAAAATAGGAATTATTTTAGAGATAGATAGATAGATAGATAGATAGATGATTCATTACCTGTAGTCTAATGAAAGACAAAGGTGAAAATTTGCTGAGAATCTGGTCTATGATGAACTCAAAATGAGGTGCATATTACAAATGGCTACATATTAGAACTTGTTGAATTACTTGTGAATAATAGCAGTATTGCCAAGATCAAGGTTCAAAAACAAAACAACAAACAAGAATGCATACATAAATCATTAGATTAATTTAAAAAAACCTGAGATAAAAAAAAGAGAGAGATGTATATTGGGATTTTTGTTTTGCTTTTTTGTTTTGAACCTGGTACATTCATTTCATATTTTCAAACATGAGCCAGTAACTTTCATTAAAAAGAAAAAAACATGAGCTCATGAAGTGGACCTTCAAAAATAAACATAAAAAATCATATGACTAATAATTAAACTGAAGGCCTTGGTAAACCTAAGGTTAAGTTCTCAGAAGTTATATGTAATTTAAACCAGGGTTTTGCAAAGGCATCACGGGATATAGGTGTTTGATGAATTGTTTGGGAGAATAACTTTCGGTTAGTCTATCTCAGTTTCTTTTTTCATGTGGTATTGTTTTTGCTCGATAAATGAATATTTAGATAGGAAATCCATAGCAAAGATTAATCCTTTGTTCACTCACAGATAGCCTTATTTGTTGATGTCTACCCCATAAAGAAGCCCTATGCACCAGTTAAATTTTATATTCAAACCTTTGTATGTAAATTACTGAACCGAGTCCGCCTAATTTACCTCAGCAGCAAAAGGCCCTTGAGAGATGAGTGAGAAACATGAACAGTAGAAAAGCACAATGCCTCTGCAGGACTCAAAAGGATCTGCTACTTTGATATCTAGCCACTGGGGAAAAAATATTCCTCCATAATACAACATGTAACAGGCACAGTAGAGATTTCTTTTCCTTATGTGGAAGTAAGTTGTATATGGGCCTTTATTCATTTTCCTATGAGGTCTGTGCATTCAAATAGCAAAAAGATTATTTTAGATTATTATTTAGTTATATAGTGTTATGGTATATGAAAGCACATAAAGCAGAGAAAATAATAAGGAGCTTAGCAGAATGCAACACAAGAATTAGGTGTCAGCATCCCAATACCAAAAAACAGCAAATTACAGATGCTGCCTCTCCAATGAGCACAACAACAAATAACATTTGGAATACAGATTATTCACCTCCTAACTACAGCTTGTATATATAAAACAGAGGAAGCATAGACATTTGCAAAAAGAGAAAATATCATTTTAAAATCTAAGTTGAGGAAGTACATTGTTGAGGAAGTACATTGTTGAGGAAGTATATTGTTGAGGAAGTATATTGTTTACTAATGCTGAAGAGATGTCATTTTCTCTCCCTGTGGTGATAATGAAACAGCACAATAGTATTTGAATTAGAGAGTCTTTTTGATGAATATCTTGTCAATTTAATCCACAAGAGTTAAAAATGGCTTTGTTGTGGCATGGGTTGGAGCAGAACAGAACTGGACATCTGAGTGCCCTGGGCAGCAACTACGCACTGTGCAGCTCCATTGGTTGTAGTGCTGTCAGCATAGCATGTACCCACTTTAGGGTCAATGCCCAGGGCTGGTGCTTCTGTCACCCCTCTCTGCTTCATTGCTACATGGGTTAGAGTGAGAATCACAGAAATGCATAAGTGATGCTTTCAATTTAGTAACAACTTATTAGTTCCCATCCTCAAAGTGTTGTCTTCTTAACGGAGCAGAAACGTCTGCATTTCAAGACATGAAAATGTCCCCCTGTTATAAAACAGAAATATGTTCTACAGCAAGGTTGGGGAATTATTTCTGCTGGAGGGCCACTTAACTTTTAGTGAACTGTCAAGGATCTCAAGGGTAGCCCCATCCTTTAACAGATGCCCTGCCTCCTGATCACCATCTTGGGACTGGAAGTCCCACCCTTAACCCTTGACTTTTGCCACTGAAATTCCCTCTCCTTGCCTCTGGAAGTATTCCTTTTGGGAGGGGGGTTTGCCATCTTGGAATCAGAAAAAAAAATCATATACTAAAATTAAATATCAACTATAACATAGTACATTGCTCAAGGCAGGACTGCAATAAAGAAGTTGTAATGGAGGTTTCATTACCTTTTGCAGTATATAGCACTATATCACTAAATCACTAAACCTTTGGCACTGAGAAAATTCCAACTGGCACAGAACACTGAGGCACATTGCCTCAGCAAAACTAATTACTGGGAACACATCGAAGCTAGTCTATGTCCCTACACTGACTTTCTAAAAAGCTCAATGTCTTGGTCCTTATTTTTAAAGAATTCAATAACTTGGACCTACTGCATCTGAAAATTGTGGAATGACTGAAAATCAACCTTCATGATTTTCTGGCGCACTTTTAGAACAACTTTAAAAATTGAGGCAGAGACAGAGCTTTCTTGGGGACAAACTTTACCACCTTCTAGTCTGTGTAAAAGTCACATTTATTTGACCTTGCTTTCTCTAACATAAACATAAGTACATACATTCATTACAAAAAAAAATCCAAACCAGAAAAAAAATGAATACTTCATGAGTGTCTTTGGGAGGGGTGGGGGAAGGGGTAAAATGAGAAAATAAAACATGGTAAATGTAGTTACTTTGTAATAGGGTGGGGAACAGGCTTTGTAATAGGGTGGGGAACAGGCTCCCACTCAGGATAATAAATGGTAACCATTTAATATCATTTTGGAAGGAATATTAAAACTTGTGCTTCCGTGCTTTTGCTAATCTCTCTTAGAACCTAGGAAAAAGCTTTTTGCAGGGGCAAAGTACCTCCGTATAGTTCTTATATTTTACTCTGAAGCATCTAATAGAGGCCACTGTTGGGGGCACTA